TCTGGAAACCAAGTACCAAAGACAGTTGAGTCTCAAGATGAAAGGAGTCATTCAGAGAACAATTTATTGATTAATAATGGCAACTAATGAATTTATGTGAGCAGGAACTAAAGTTCTAATGTAAGAAGACACCGATGTTCTGTGGTGTATATATTACTATAGCTGGTATTATTCTAACTAATGTAGGAATAAAAAAGAATGTGATATTTATTGCTAACTGAAACTTAAATTATAATATCGACCTAATTGTTAGGTTGCAGATTACACACAAAGTGATACTGGAAGACAGAAAGATGGAATCCCATATTATGTGGTGACAAATATTTGGTATATATGTGACTTTAAATAACTTTTACTCCAGACCATGTGCCTGCTGAGCCTGTAGGCCTCAGTACTGAGTGCAGAGTTAGAAAGAGCTAGAATGAAATGTGCAAACCACACCGTGCAATCTTTAGCATACATACATAATAGACGTTGACATCTAGAGTATAGATAATAGTAAAATGTAGTAAAATTATTAGGATGGGATGAGGATGAGTTGTGATCATTAACTGCTTTGTTTTTAATATAATTTAATTATAAATGTATAATTTATTATTTAATAATGACTGTGATTAACAATTGGCTCATACAATTTGTGAAAAAGTAGTAGTTGACACTTGTGACCTGATATGAACCACTTCTAGCACATAACTATAACACTGGAATTTGTTAGAACAAAAAATGAGTTTCATCTGTTTCAAACCACCGGCATTTGGGTGTTAATCTGGGACTACAAGCAGCGCCGACCTAACCAATGCACAGGGCTACATTTTTCAGTTCAGAAATGGCGCATGCCCTCAACTTATTCACTGTTCCTCGGGTGACTGGCAGCCTTGACAAGGCCTCCGCTCGCTGAGACCCCAGTATCTTGTCTGGTGGGTCAGGTGTTGCCGTGGGTTCCAGGAGGAACTTTTTTACCTGAGGCAATGGATGTGTTTTTTATAGGTGGAAGTGGGATTGTCAAAATCCAACTCGAGTAGTAAAATCAACATCCTACACTGCAGAGTTATAAGGTTTTTATTATCTTAAGGCAACAGGACTATAACAGTTCTGTGAAAAGTGCACACCAACATAAATCAGGGGCATTGGGTGTAATCACTGAGCAACTAGAAAGCGAGAAGACCGCCAGTAAGTGCACCAGACGTCTGTCCCTGAATTATTCATGTTTAGCACTAGGTGTACTATTACATTGCACAATGTACCTGGATATGATCAATGACATTTTCTGTAATTTTATAAAGTTTGAGGCTAGAATTAAGTTTTTCAAGTTGAAAGTTGTCCTTCTGGCCCTGGGCCCAGCCTTAAAGACCTGGAAAAGAACTCATTTATCTTTGAATTACAACAAACAAGATCATAAAACAAAGCTACGCAGAAGAACAGAAAGTCCAGCTTGTTTTTCTTGTCCAATTTATTTTCTCCTTGCCTCTCTTTTCCTTTAGTTTAAAAATCCTCATCTGCCTCACCTACACCCCCCAAAGTGGAGCAATCTTATACGTTGTTTAGTTTTTTTTCGTTCTCTTCATGTAACTAACTGTTGGAAGACAGCCTTCACATGAAGCTCTCGCCGTCTGCCCCCCTTTCCACAGAATCGGTGCCCAGGCCTATTATCCCGGGAAGGCCACATGCTTTTCATGGCATCAAGCAAGGGGCAGCTTCTGCTGACATGTCACCGAAGGGCTGCGGAGCTCCAACATGCTGGCCTTAGTGAGAGTCCCCTTCTCTCTCCTGCTAGCTGTTTGGTTTCAGTGTTTCCAGCACCAAAATGTACATATTGAACATTTCTCCTGCTTTGTGTTCAGTCATTAATATGAAGATTTATATTGCCAAATGTTTACCCAATTGCTTGTGAGCGTGCAGCTGCTCACTAAGACATTGATACAGCCTCATATAACCGAGCACGGGAATGCTTCCAATGTTCCATTTTACAGAGATGGAACATTCTTAAAATAATTCCATAATTTTTTTTTTCAACCCCATTGTAAAGAACTTCTTCAAGGAGCATATCTAAAAATCTGAAAACGTCTGTAGCTTTTGATACTATGTCATATTTTGCATTAATTTTAAAAGTGATACAATTTTCTCTCTCATAGAATTTACTGTTCCTTTTGGGTATTTTATAGAGAGATCAGGGCACATGGTTAAAACATTTTAATTACTCATGCAAGTCTGTCATTCTTGTCCCTTCAAATATGAGAAAGATGCCCCCTCCCAGGCTTTTTAAAAGCTAGTTTCTATAGGTAGTTGCTAACTTTTTATTTGGTACATGCTCACGAACATTTCCCTAAGAAATTACAATTTATCTAGTTGCAGGTAGATCATATAAATTAGGTAAATCTCCATCCCTATGTGCTAGATGGAATAGATCTGCCCGCCAGAACCTCTGTGCCACTAGGAATATATTTTGGATAAAGTCTGTCTGACTTCCACTCACATTTCTCAGTTCAGCTGGTATATTAGCCATTATCGCAAGGGTGCTGTCTTGGAGCAGAGAAAACTGAGTCATGGAAGACCATCTAATTAAGTGTGAATGTTTATGATGACGAAATATGAGGGTCCTCTCCCCTGCTCCCCTATATAAACATGTAGCCTGCATAAACAACTATAGTATCAGATAATTAAAAAATAATTATTTCCTGGAGATAACCGTCTTATGCCCATAGGTCTGTATTGCAATAGGGTTGCACCGCCTGCTTCTGAATGTATGTATTTAAACAAAACTGCTAAAAGGACTCAGCGACTAGGTTCTCCCTGGAGCCACTTTGGGGCCATCTGCTTATTAGTCACCATCCAAGCTCTTGTTGTTAGTTGATAGAACCTCTCCAGAGCTGGGCCCATGCCAAGGTCTCTGAGGCAAGGTCCCTCCCTGTTGGGTTGCTGGGGCAGTGACCCTGTATCAGACTACCTTCCATAGCAACACCGCCTTCCTCATTTTTGCCTGTTTCTCACATGCAGACATCAGGAAAAGGGTTTCCCTAGTAACTGTGTCTCCCCCTCTTCTATCTTCCGGAGGCCAATCCTTCTCTCCATCTCCCTAACTCTTTCTCGTCAGCCCCTTCCATCCAGACTCCCCATATAATTTTCAGCTCAAGTCTGTGTTCCCTATGGAAATTTCAAAATAGGAAGAAAAAAAATGAAATTGTCAGTGGGTCAAGCCGAAGAGTTCACGTCTCTTTAATTGGACTCTGGTATTTATATGAGGTAGCTGTAGCTCAGTGACTAAAAATCAAGCTTTATTTTAAATATGTCCTTTGTTGAATGCTACAGAATTACATTTTCAATAATGGAAAGAGGTTTATAGAGAAAAAGAACCATATCTAATGGGTATTGAAATGTAATTTCACAGACATTCTTGGAACAGTTCCTCTAATAATATTACTTTGCTCTAAACCAATTTATTTGCTTAATGTGAAGTTAGCAAGCAAACTAAAATCAGAGAAAAAATACCTAGACTATTTTCATATGTAACACATCAACAAAAAATAAATATATACAAAAACTGGCTTGCATCTTTTGACCATAATAGATTTTTATCAACATGATTGCCACAAACATTATCAGGGATGTAATTTGATAGGTCATTTTGAAACGTGGGTCAGCATCCCAACATTCCTGTAAGGATTTGTTTTATTATGTCGGTAATCGCAAGAGAGACTAACCCATAAGAGACTACTTCCAATTATAAATAGGTCACATATTCATATACATAACCTTTTTCTCACAATTGGGAACTTAAGCAAATAATTTGGCATATTTTTAAAACAAGAAAAATATTCAAGCAGAGGCAGAGGGAAATAAATATCCTCTAGAATTCCAATCCTAAAATGGAAAAACAACCCAATGCCTTTCTGTGAGTATTTAAGTAAAATATTTTCAATTTTGCCTACTAGGTGACTGGGGTTAGTTACATTATGTTGAGTTAGGAAAATGCTAGGAAGGTATCTAGACCTTGGAATAATAGAACCTTCCTTTTTTTCTTCTCTAATGACGCCAGTTAACTATAGCAAAACAATAAAGGGATAATACTCTTGACAAATGAGTAAGTAAGGTATAGCAATTCTCACTCCAACTGAAAATGTTCCATGAAATGAGTAGCGGGGAGGTGATAAACCAGGTCTCTTACTTGTATGAGTTCAGTGAATGTGTCGTGTTCTAACTCAGTCCATATTTATATCCAAATGGCCTGGCTATGCATTAAAAAAATGGATGTTTTCCACTACACAGTACTCAGATGGAGGACAATTTTATTCTGCTTATCCTGGATTCATAAACATTTATCTTCAGCCTCCACTTGCATAGAATCAGATTTCAAAGAATCTCATTGATCTCCTAGTACATATTTTGCTTATAAAACTTTTTAAAGCATTGCTAATGGGGTGTTATAGCATTTCATCTTGAATATGGTTATTAACTACTTCACAAAGTAATGTATTTCATTAAAGAAAATGTGGACAAATAAAAAGTCTGGCATGATATTGAGCTGAAATCCATAAACATGTCTATATTTCTTATAACATTTACCACCTGCTACTCCAGTTCCTTTAATTCCCTCCATTTCTCTTACATTCTTAAGTCTGACACTCTAAGACAAACATTCTCTGGGAATTATCTCTTTAGCACAGAGAATAAAGGCTCTATTGTTTACATTAACCCTGCTATTACATATTCACACGTACACCTTAAGCCTGTGTTTGCTCTTTTAAACTCATCACACTTTTAATGAAAGTATTGAACTTGTTTACTATTACCTCTAGCCCTTTCATAAATCAGTTTTTGTTATCTATGCCTTTATTTTACCATACTTAGAAATTCATCATTGATTAGGAATATGGTCCTCTTCAATTATGGTTTTGACAGAAGGGTCACATAGAATCTTGTTTGTAAAATGTTTTATGTTAACTATCTGTCAAAGTTTTGTCTCTCTTGCCAATTTGATAATCATTCTTTTCTTTTCTTTTCCTTAAAATATGGAACACTTCACAAATCTGCATGTCATTCCCGTGCAGGGGCCATGGTAATCTCATCTGTATTGTTCCAGTTTTAGTGTATGTGCTGCCGAAGTGAGCATGATAATCATTCTTTATGTCTCCCTCCAAAAGAATGAACAAATATTAATTCATTTAATCAGTTTGGATCAAATAACCAAGTCAACCAAACTGCACTATAATGTAATCTGGATTTACTTCTTCACAAAGATACATAGTTTAGTAAAGGGAGAAAAAAATTAGAGATCATTTAAGCAAACATCACCTTTTAAATTTATGGAAAGTGAGCCTCAGAGAAATGAAATGGCTTTCTTAATATGGTTAAACATTGATTGAAAGCAAGCTATATTTTATTTATTTGTAGTACCCTCTACTTCAGGGGAAATGTCTCATATTTTTATACTAGATTCATAAGCTATAAAAATTAATTATGGGTGGTTATTAAGTGATGTTAATTTATCTAGATTATTGACAATAGACATAATAAGTCTTAATATTATAGTCTCTCTAATAGAAGAAACAAGTGACACAAATACCTTATTTTCCCCTGATAATTACCATAATGTTTCTTGATGGATATGTGCATGATATCCTGATGTCCAGTGTTAGTAGAGAATGCAAGAATATCAGTTAGAATATTTTCTCACTTTGTACTTAAAAATAAAGACATGAACTCTGGGGTCTTTCTCAATCTCAGAACATTCTGACCTCAGAAATAACTTTATCACAATATTGGCTTCTGGCTTAGTTGTTGGAATAATTGTTTTGTTAAAGTTGAGAGAAGAAGCAAAGAAAAGTTCATGATTTATTGATCTGTTTTCCTGGCTGGCTTAAAATAAGTGAATCGGCATCAATTCTCTATGCATATATTGATTATTATATAAAAGGACTTGTACGAGGGGCTGTTGAATACGGCTGAAAGTGGCTAAGAATGCTTCCTGATAAACCTTAAGAGATCTTCATGGGGTCAATTTTATTTGAGCACTACATTCTTGTTTTTGTTATTTTCAGAGAAACTAGAGAGCTAATTTAAGACAGGTACAGCTCTTTTTCCTTGTGAATCCAAAGGGATCAATGATTCTAATGGGTTGATGGCAAAGTTTCAAATTGAAAACTGTACTGGTTTCATAACTTGAATGCAGTTCTCATACATTCTTAAAGTGAATTGAACTAAATTTTCAATGAATGCTGTTTTACTGTAGAAAAATTGCAACCACCATGCTGATGTTTTCTTCATCTTGAACCTCTCCTCAGTGTTTGAAATGTAAGTCTTGCAGCATTAGCTGTATAAAAATGGGGATGGGTAGCATGATCATAATCTAATTTTATAAATGCTTAAAACATAGCATTTTTTGCCCAGCTGGTGTTCCTCAGTGGATTGAGCATCATCCCATGGATTGAGAGGTCCCAGTTCGATTCCTTGTCAGGGCACATGCCCAGGTTTCAGGCTCAATCCACAGTAGGGGGCATGGAGGAGGTAGTCAATAAATGTTTCTCTATCACATCAATGTTTCTCTCTCTCTCTCTCTCTCTCCCTCTTTCTTTAAAAACTCAATAAAACATATTAGAAAAATTAAAGCACTGTATTTTCAGGAACTATTTTCAGAAAACACCCCTAACTAGTAGATTAGAAATAAATATAATTCAATTTTTATTTCCATTTTAAATTCTTAAAAAATCTTGATCCATTAACAAATTTAAAACATATAGAAATATAGGAAGTATACTGGAGTTATCACAAGATCACACTGATACATATAATCTGGTAACAACACATACAGAACCATACAGTTTGGTTTCTCATTTCAAATGATTTATTAATTATTGAATTTTCAGTATGAACAACTGTAAACCTACTTTTGCCTCACCCTGTATGTAAATATAGTTTGGTTCTAGATTCCAATGATATACAGTCTTCTCACCATACCTTGCATAAGTGACTGGCAATACAAAAGGTCTTGTAGTGGCAATAATTTTGTCTTCATTTTTGTTGTACTCCTATTCATTGCTGGACATCTAACATCCCAGGGACCCTCCAATAAAATGTGTGTGGTATCCCCAAAAGACATTTTACAATAAAAAATATCACATATACATCTAGAATTTCTACTTGGTGTGGTTCTACTCTTTGTAAAAACTATTGCTTGTATTTTATGCTATATATTATATAATATATGAGTGAACAAACATATGTAGTCACTGCCTTAGTATTGAAGAGATAGAGGCAGTTTAGGCCATAAGAGATGGGAACGTGGGAAGGGAAGACTGAGACTCGTGGGGAGGAGGTTTGTGAAGATGTGGAGCTCAGCACACAAGCAGGCAACCCAGTACCCTGCATATATTCAGACTCTACAGATCTGAAATAAAACTAAAATCAACATTGGAAATTGTGCCTCCAAAGCCATCAACTCCCAGCCCCTATTAACACTCCTGACTTATAGACATAAAATGTTTATCTTGATTGCACATTAGAAGCTCCTGAAAGGAACACAGGTCAATTACATAAAAAGAAAAGAAAACAAACAAACAAAAAACTGAAAGGGCCAGTTTCAGGCAAGAGGGTAACATTGATTATATAGTTCCTTTCTCTAGGATCCTGATGGGTTTGCAAGGGAATTTTATTTACTGTTAAAGAAAATAGTGCTGGTGATTCTGACCTATTCCAATTAATATACTTACTGGCTTCTGGGAGCAAGGCAACAGGATTGACAAATGAGTTCTACTGCAAAACTATAGAGTGTGTTTCTATTGCAGAAAGCCAAGTTACCTTAAAAGGATTACAGGAAATCAAAATTAATTTAGAATAGAAACTGAAAGCAAGCATAGGGTTGCTCCAAAGGCATTCCTCCTCCTAACTAACAGTCTGGAAGAAGTTAAAATTATTTAAAAGGGGGGGGGCATTAATGCCCCTATAGATATCTGGGGCTACTTTATTTTTTCTTAATCACACCTAACTAATTTGTCTTCTCCTGGGAGTGAAGCTTCTATACAAATGTCAGAATAGTTAATCAATGTCTGTTTTTAAATCAGAACTGTCCACTTTCAACTAGGGAATATTGTGGGACAATATATATCTTTGCTTATCAAATCTGCCCCAATTCACCTCATAGGGTGAGGTTTTTTTAAATCAGTGATGCCCACATATGCTTTTTCCAGAAGGGTAATACGAATTTAGAACTAGATGGCCTAGGGTTAAACCCAGTTAGGTGGGAAACACAAACATTAAAACGTATGAATGTTTTTAAGGCAGAATTCCTTGAAAGTACCAATTCAATATAGCAAGGCATATATCTACCCCTAGACAAAGAAGCCAACGATCCACTTAGGTTCTCTCCCTGCTTCAGGGAGTCTGTCTATTTTTTCAAATAAATCTTGCTTTTGCTTGACCCTTTGTCCATGCATTCATCTTTGATTATGAAAGACACTGAACCCAGATCTGATCACAGATACTTGGTTTCAGTATTATGAGTATAACTTAGGACCGAGAACTTGGAATAGAATTCACCGAGAGGAAGCTTTCAGTTTAAGAAAGCCTGAACACTTCTAAAATATAATGTTCTCCTAGAAAGCAGACAAGTCCAATAAAAATTAATTACCCAATAGCAATTTGACAAAAAGCAATTTTTCCAATGACTAATTAATTGATCAAATTTATAAGAATGAATGGGTTTAATAGAAATTTTTTAATTTACCAATTTTTTTTCAGTTATTAATTCATAAAAATATTTCTATAGCAATTTACATTTTTTGCATTCCTGAATTGTCATTTTATTTAGAAAAGAAGTTTCTTGTTAACTTTGTATTGTGGATATGGCTCACATAGCAAGGTCAAGAATTTTATAAATAGTAGAATGTGTTTCATTTACATAATGTTTTAATTCTCACATACATTTATTTTTTTTAAAGAATAAAATTGCCTTTACCTTTAAATTGAAAAATGCATTCTGACCATATTTTATACCAAGTGCTATACTACAGGTTAGACATGTGGTACATCAAATAATGGTTTCTGCCACCTCTGATTAGGAGACCAAATCTTAAAAAATTATACCACAGATTACACTAGGAATAATAGTAATAATTCAACTTCATTGAGTTCTCATTTTCTTCTCTATGAGGTATTTTGGACCTTTTTTTTTTTTTTTGCTTAATCCCTTTACCATTTTCACACAGCTCCATAGCCCCCTTCCCTCTGACAGCTGTCTATTTATGAGTCTGTCTTGGTTTTGTTTGTTACTTTACTTTGTTCATTAGATTCCACATATGAGTAAAAGAATATGGTTCTTGTCTTTCTCTGACTGGCTTATTACACTTAGCATAATGCTGTCCACATTCATTTCTATATCGTGTTGATTTACAGATGTCTAAGCACATGCTTGATTATCATGTGTCTAGACTATTCTAGATGAAATTCTTTAATTTAACTGCAAACTGACTATATGACTAGTAACATTTCAACTAAATTTATTTACTATTGTGAGTTCTTCCTTTTAGTGCTCTTGCTAATTATTTATAAACACTTTTTTGTTTTATCACCCTTTGAGATGATAACTGAGGAACATAGTCATGTCTAATTCATTGAATATTTATATTTTCTAAAATGTGTAGCCTTTTGTCATAGCACTTTATAAGTGCTCAATAAATAGGTCTTGCTTCACTCACTAATAGCTGAAACTTAAGCCTGAAGTAGATTTGACAGACTATGTCTAGGTCAACCTGTTATGAAAATAACCTGGGAATATGCTGGGTCTGGCATATCACTCAGGGAAGAAAGTAACAAATTAAACTTCAAGTTCAATGACTGCCATCATATATATCTCTATATCTATCTCTCTATCATCTATCTATCTATCTATCTATCTATCTATCTATCTATCTATCTATCTAATCAGCCAATTGCTTTACTTTAATTTTCCCATTAGTTGTGATTGTCATGTCACTGGACTACTCAATGGATCACTTTTAATGAATTGATTGGTCAATTTGAGAAAGAATCTAATTCAAATTCTTTAAAAGTTTTTCCCAGAGAATTCAGTGTTTGCTGGAACTGATCACATCACCCTATATATTGAGCCTAACCTAA